GGGAATCGCTCCTCCGGTGCCGGGAGCCCCTCCTGCTGCACTGGCCTGGGGGGCTGCAGGGCTGCTCCTCTCTCTCCTCTCTCCCACTACTGTCCCGCAGCAGGGTTTTTTCCTTCTTAATTACGTGATCCCAGAGGTGCTACCACCATTGCTGATGAGCTTGGCCTTGGCCAGCGGCAGACACAGGGAAAGCTTCTGGCAGCTTCTCACAGAAGCCACCCCTGTAGCCCCCTGCCACCAAAACCTTGCCACGCCAACCCAATACACTGAAACAGTGAAAATGTTTGGAAGGATGCACCTCTGGAGGGTGAAGATTTCTTTTTTGGTGAAATTCACAGTCACTGGATCGTGGGGAGGCAGTGGGATAAGTAGGCTCAGAGGGATTAGACGCATTTCTGGAGGGTGACTCCCACAGGACCTTTATGGACAGCAGTCTGTGTGCAAGCCGTGGCCACCAGCAGAACTTCAGGAGATAAGAATGAGCTCGCCGTGTCCTGGTTATGTTGCTTTACCCGGGCTGTTACTGCATCCTGGAGATGAGGTGCTGCATGGATGGGCCTTGATCTGGGCCAATTCACGCTCTCTTTAGAACTCCTCTACTTGTGGTGTATTACGTTTCTGGGCACGTTACCTGCAGGTGTAACCAAGGCCCCTCCTCTCTTTGCTCCCGGGCTGGAGTTTCCAACCTCTGCCCTGGTGCCTCAGCGCTTCCCTGCCATTCTTAATTAATGCATTTTTCCTGTTCTTCGGTGGCTTTTCTCACTTACACTGTTTGCAAAATTGTAGTGGAATTCTGAAATTGCATTGCCTCAATGGAATTAATTTACATGCATTTTGTCAAACCTGTCATTTCTAGGCTCCTGTGGCGTCTAGAGACCACGCCGGCTGTATTCACATCAAAGATGGCAGACTTGGCACCTCCTTTCCTCGCCTTACCTCTTCTGCTCTCCTCTTGCTTATTTTGTGGGTTATGCTAATACTCTGTTAAAATTTTGATTAATGTTATCTCTCCACATGACTAATCTTCTGCTCAGTGCTTGATTTCATCAGCAACTTGTGGCAATGGCTGCCCGTGCTTTTAATTAACTATTGACAGAAAAAAGGAACTTTGCCCATCTGTCTCTTCAGGCTCATGTGTCCGATGGGATGCGGTGGACCTCTGCAGTGCTATATAAAAAGAAGCACAGCGTTTTGTCGCTTCTTCTCAGCCAAAATCTCCGGTGTTGCAGTTCAGTCTCATCTTCTCTGGCCCTCCTGGGTGGGTGTGAGGTGAACACCTTGGCTACTGTTCTTTCTTACTGTATTTTCTTGTTCTTTATCTGTTTTCTTCTGCTTTTCTAACTGGAAGAGGCAGGACAGAGCTAGACTCTTCCCAGTGGTGCCCAGCGCCAGGACAAGGGGCCATGGGCACAAACTGAAGCAGAAGAGGTTCCAGTTGAACGGGAGGAAGAACTTGTTGACTGTGAGGGTGCCCGAGCCCTGGCCCAGGCTGCCCAGGGGGGCTGTGGAGTCTCCTTCTCTGGAGATCTTCAACCCCCGCCTGGCCGCTGTCCTGTGCCCCCTGCTCTGGGTGAGCCTGCTTGGGCAGGGGGGTGGCACTGGGTGAGCTCCCGAGGGCCCTTCCAACCCCTGCCATGCTGGGATTCTGGGATTTTTTTTTTTTTTTTTTTTCCTGGGGAGCTTTTCCTTGGGAAAGTTGATCTGACAAAACTGCATCAGCTTTGCCGTAGTTTAGATGAGCCAAATTCCTGGAGGACAGAGCAGCCTTGCTGAGTAGCCACAGGTGCTGCAGAGAAGCCCCGTGGCCAGGACCAGAGCAGAAGCTTGAACTTGCCCCCCCGTGCCTGGCAGCTCCCTGCCAGGACACTGACGTCTGCCACCTCGTACTGCTTGTTTTGGGAGAGATCTCATACTTGTCCCAGTGTAGACAAAATTCTTATTTTCTGCCAAGGGTGAGTGTTCTGTTTGTGCTTTCCACAGCTGTGGTGTCAGGCTAATGCCAGCTCTTGAAGCAGTTAGTCTGAATGCACTTCTCTTTATAGGGACTCAGTTTTTTTACCAAGTCTGTGGTCTTTTGCCATAAACCAAAACAATTTTCTGCCAGTATGCCACGCACGCTCTTTGGGTGCGTCCTCACCAACAGCTTTTGACTTGCTGGGGGACCGAGAATTATTGAGAAAGGAAAAAGACATTTGGAAAGTACTGAGAAGTTACAGTTTTCCAAACCCCTTTGAGAATGTTGTTTTTAAGTTGGGAATGGGAGAACACACTTACTTCTTTTGGAGGAGGAGGAGGTGGAGGAGTGGTCTTAGGTTTTTTTCCCTGTCTTCTAAGTCGCCACCTATAACATAAAGTGCTCGGTGAACGTGAACTTCGCACAGTGATTTCATGCAGAACCAGATGCTGTGGTTTATGGACACTACGAGAAATGTTGGGTGTTGTTTTGCAGTTGCGTTCTCTGACGTGGATATGTAAAACGACAGGAAAATAGAACAGGAAAATAAGCTAAATACTGTCTCTTACCTGAGATGCGGAGATACCACAGAAGACCGTGGCACAGGGAAAGCGTTTATTATATCTGCTCTGGAGGCGACAGCATAGGGTAGGGATGCCTACACTGGCTGCGTGTGAGGTAGCTGGGGGCTCGACCGCCTTGCTGCAAAGAGCAGAACAAGCCTCCGCGTGGTTTTTCCCCATTTCTTGGCAGAATAAGTGAGCCCAGCAAATCCGAATCATGTGGGTGCACAGAGATCGTCGAGGGGAATGTCATTGTTCCTTCTCTGGTTTGGGATTTTGGACATTTCTCCCTGTCTGCAGTTGCATTCCCATATTCTTTCAGTTAAGCTTATAAACCCATTTGACCTGGGAAAAATGTGCAAAGCAGTAAGAGGATAAGAGAGCGTTTATCCTCTGTGCACTGTTTAAAAATATTTCCGTCTTCAACTTTTGTTTGTGTTTTTCAGTGAAACAAAAGGAAAAAAAAAAGGGGTTAAACATCCCAAAAGAGAAAAAAGGAGGAGCCACTTAGAAAAAGCTGAACTTTTACAGAAAATTATCCTGAAGTGAGACAATTTGCGGTTCAAAATTTCTATGGAAAACTTAAAAAAGTGCCAGAAGGGATTAAAAACTGTGAAGCTTTAGCTGGCATTTCTGGTTAATAGGCAATTGTGGCAGAGCTCTGTTCAGAGCGCGTTTGGTTGCGTTACCCTGCAGGGTGTCTTTGGAGCAAGAGGAACTCGGTGGCCAGGGTTGCGCCGTGAACTCCTAGTAAGACCTTTCATGGAAAGGGATGCTGAGAACCATGGTTAGAAGTGGTTAAATGTGCCTCAGTTTTGCCAGGGGGTGTGAAGATCAGCGGAGCTTTACCTACCTTTGGATCCGCTGAGCAATGGCAACCCTCTTGTGCAGCAAAAAGGCCAAAATCAAGATGAGTAGAAGCAGCGTTCCGGCAGCTTTTCCCATGTTCTTTGCATCTCTCCACACTTGGAAGGGAAAGGAGAAAGGGAGAACATCACACTCTGTGCACACCAGGCATTTCTGGCACAGCAAAATGCTAGTAGAGGCATCAGTTTGGCGTATATGTTCAGGTAGATGTTCAGGTCTCCAAGGCACCTCCATCACTCCCTACTTAGGACCTACCAGTGTTCTTACCTCTCTGAGAAACAATAAAAGGCCTTGAGGTATATAGTCTAGAGGCCAAAGAATTGCTATACAGGCCTGGAAATGAAGAGTCTTTGGGACGGCATGGTATGGAGTTTGAGGATGTAACAAAGAAAGGCTTCCCATGTGGTTCCCTGGCAAGGACACACAGGTGAAGAATCATAGAATCATAGAATGTTTTGGGTGGGAAGGGACCCCCAGAG